ATTTGAACAGTTGTTTCAAAACCTTTACGTATCGGTGTATTTGTATGATGCATTGTAAGATATATTTCCGCAACAAACTCAAAACATGCCTCAGGATTTGATGATGATGAAACAAGTACCATACCCTAATTGATTATTAAAAAAAAAAAAAGAAAAACTATTTAATTATGGATAAAATAAAATTATTTACTTTGCGTAATCGACTGCCTCCTATATGAAGTAAGCTAAGTGAAGCAGCCTGACCAGCACGAACTATTCGTCTTGGGACCCTATATCTGTGTATAGTAGTTACTTTAACGGGTAAAAATGTACCGTCCAATAAAGGACCAACTAGATAACTTTCTCCTTCTCGTATTAAACCACTAAAAATAGAAAAAGAAAACAATATATAGATAAATTCTTTTGAATTTTTTGTATTCATACCTTCTTAAAGTACCACCAACAACAGCCGCACCTGATTCATTATTTCTATAGATTTCATCAATCTAATAAAAAAAAAAGAAGAAATTTTTGAACATAAAATATCAAATGAAATAAATAAGAAACATACTCGATATTCTACTGGTAATAATGCAAGTCTTTCTTGATCTTTTGTACTCAAACGAGGTGAAAGAATATTAAGAAATTTTTTTAATAAATCAATATTTTCGCCAGTTACACATGATACAGCAAATATTGGACATATAGTTTTTTCAACAAACATATCAGCTGATTTAACAAGATCTTCTTCTGTTTGAACAACATATGGTAGAAGATGTGTAGAACTATTTCCATGTTTTAATAAATATGTTAAACAAGTTATTGTTTGTTGTATACTAGTTTTTGAACATAAATCTATTTTATTAATTACAACAAAAACTGGTACATCCAATGTTCTTGCATATGAAAAATGTTCACGTGTTGTGTCAACTAAATTAAATTTCAAATAAAAAAATAAAAATATACTCTTAGATTTTTCTTTATCTTTAATTAATAACATACCAACACTTGATGGTGCATCAACACATAACATTGCAAAATCAGCAGCATGTGCAGCAAGACCAAATAATGTTGTTTTCATATATTTTGTATGACCAGCAAGATCAATAAATGTTATGACTAAAGATTAAAAACAAAAACATAAATAAATAAACTAAAATATAATCATTAAATAAATAATATTTCTTTTACTTTTGGTTGATCGATTACAAATTTCATTTGCTGTTCGACAACAACCATAATCAATACTCTTTAAAAATACAAATAAAAATAAGAAAATTTTATTTAATAACATACTTGTCCTAGATTATTAAATCCAAGAATTTCATGTGTTATTGATGATGTTCTTCCTGTTTGAATTTCATGTAAATGTCGAAATAAGTTAAGTCTTGCTCGACCACGTCCATTATCAAGTTCACCATGTGTACAAACACCAACAAGTGAACTCTTTCCACTATCAACTGTACCCAATACAGCAACACGTAAATCAATAAAATATTGATCATCAGGAACTTTTCGTACAAGTACCTCAACAATATGTCGGTCATTTTCTAATTTACGTTCATGAAGTATTGTTATTGATGCACCTAATCTATCAGCCATTTTTTTTAATGTTGCTAATGATGCTTCTAATTCTTCACTACTAACACCACTTAATGTACCACAATCTTCGACACCAATTTCATATAAAGCTTCACCTTGTCCTTCTTGTAAACGCCAATTCATTTGAGTTATCAAATGTTCAAGACGAAATGGATTTGGATCAACTAATTTAAGTTTATATTCAATATTACCTTCTTGAGGCTAAGAAAAAAACAAAACGAAAATATTTCAATTGAAATTTTTCCATTACAAAAAAAAAAAAGACAAACAAACCTCCGGTGGTAATCCAGTAAGGATGAATGGTGAACGAGATACTTGTTCATTATCATCTTCATCATCGCTTGGGCCAAAAAGACTTGTCACATGTTGATTGATCTATATTTCAATAAATGAATGAATAATAAGATTTTTTTTTAGATTAAATTTACTTTATTATAATTGAATTCTGATCGTCTGTCATTCGTCGATATAGGGTCCTGATTAGACATCTGAAATAAAAATCTTAGTTTAGAAATAGATGTAGTTTAAATGAATTTGATATGAAAATATGTATGAATAATTTATATTATATACGACATAGAAATCAAAAGCAATGTTTGTAACAAGGGAAAAAGCTGATCAAGTTTAATGCTGTCCTCTTACATGTCATTGAATGAGATTTTTCCCATTTTAAATACGATTGCGAAATTACTAACGTATACAAGCGTTTTATTATCTCAGAAAAACGAACTTATTGTCAATAGATATAAGTATCACATGAGTTTTACTTTCCAAGAAAGATTTCATGTCTTACATTCAATTGCATCATCTTCTGTATGAGTGTATGATTAAAAAAGTTTCTTTCTCGTCAGCGTCAACATGCATGTGTCGACACAGGATTGTATGTTTAACAAAAAAAAACAAGCGCAGAAAAGAGAAAAAAAAATACAAAAAGAATGAAATATATCTAGGGATCTTCGCGAATAATTCGCCGTCTACGACTCATCATTTCAGTATTTTGTCTTGTATATCGATCGAATGTTGAACGAATAACACCTGACATTTGATTATAATCAGCAAAACGACGCCACATTATACGACCAAGACGATATTGTTCAATAACACCCCATTGACGAGATCTAAAATTATTGAAAAACAAAGTGGTTTTTTTTCTTTGTATCAAGTTACAATTAAAATAATATATTTACGTTAAAGCACATCGATTCCATCTCCACCAAGGTTGAGTTTCATTTGTAAATGTTGAAAATTCTTCTTCTCGACAATAATTCTATAATAAACAAAAGAAAAATATTTGAGTTTCATCGAAAAAAAAAAGAACTCATTTTTACTTTGAATGAATCTGGAAAAATCATATTTTTACGTAATGTTTGATATCGAAATCGTTCAGGCCAATATTTTCGAATAAGTGTACGTCGTTTTATATCTCTTAACATCATTCGACCTGGATAACCAACGAGTTTAGTACGTGATGGTTGATCAATATTGATTATACCAGTAAGAGGTGTCAGAAGCGGTAGCTATTCAATAAATTCAAAATAGATTAGAAAATCAACTGTAAATAATTTATTCAACTTAAAACTTATCTAAAGTTTTCTGTTCAGAATCTAAATACTAACTTCTCAATGAATCTGTGCCTTTTATTACTTGTTGAATACATTTAATCAAGAAAAAAACTTAAGGAAAATACTGCTAAATAAAACATTGTTATCGTTAGAATATTTCGTCAACAATTAAAAAAAAGGTTATCATTGAAACGAGAAAAATAATGTTATGTTTACGAATAAGAAATTAGTGCAAGACATGAAGTAACGAAACTAACGAGAGAAAATTCCCAAATATGACTTTCCATTTTCAATTGACTTTATGCTCATTTGTACAGCTTAATAAGCTGAGTACAATGTCATAAAGTATTTCTCTTGATAGATTGTCTTTGAGGCATTCGGTCGATCTTAAATGCAAGAAAGATTAACTGGGAGCTATTATTTCAGAAATTTTATATTTAATATTACTTAAGTTCTCAGCATTCAAAGTTTTAACAGTGGATATGCTGTAATTGTTATTGTACAAGCTATACAATCAATATAAATATAAATCTTGGCTATGTTTATAAATGAAATATTTCAGTATCAACAATACTGTGAATGCATGAAATTCATCTATTTTTTTCAAAACTGATCAAAATTCTCTAGGAGAACACTATTTTAACGACATAGTCATTAAAACCTTGTCAGATACTTTATTTTCAATAGTCGATATTCTATTTAGTTGTTTTCTTGTATGCTAATGCAAAAAAACATTAAGCATAATACAGATAATTAGAACATGATCAATATTTATTTTTAATATGCTATATATTCACAATAGAGTTACTTACACAGTGAATTTTTACAGCTTGCCTTGATCTATCTTGCCCTGCCCTGCCATGCCCCACTTCACTGGATCGAGCAGGGCAGGTTAGAGTACTCTATAGGATCGATATGCTCTCTTATCAAATGTTTTAGTTTATCATAGAAAATTATTTTATTTAAATCTATTTTACAATGTTAATAACTAACAGTACAACTAGAGAACAACTCTAAGTACTAGCTGGTACCGTCCTCTGTAACCTTTTTCGATTTTTGATTCACTAAGACCCAAATAAACGCTTTTTGTGGACACTCAGAAACTTGATGTTCAAAGTCGCAAGATATGAAGATCTTATCATGTCTCGGCTTGTACTATGTGCTACCGTAGTCTGTCCTGTTTCAGGTCAGCATGACAAACAACTTTTGTTTTTTACAGTTTGTGAGAGCATCTCTGATTCACAGTAATGATAGTACTGAAATATTCAAATTATAAACATAGTTAAAACTTCCATTCATGTTAATACTGTAGATATTAATAATTGACAGTCATTTTTCTAATATTGAGATCGACAGAACTTATCAAAGATAATGTAAGGAGAAGAAGGTTTTGTTCAATCGTAATCAGCTCATCAAGCTCTACAAATTGGCATAAAGTTGATCGAAAACGAAGACTCACACTTGGAAGATATATCCTTGTAAGAGAAAGAATGAAAAAACAATGTTTTATTTTCTTATCTTCTCTAGTATTAAATACATATGTGATATTTTTATTTTCTAACAATCCTATGATCAACATTTATACCTGATTCGTAAACATATTCAGCCGAAGACTTCTTTGTACTTGACAAAGTAAAAATGACATCTGAAACAGCGAATTATTCGAAAAAAAAACAATAACTAAAAGAATATAATATATTAAAATATAATGCTCGATTATATTTTTATTCCAAATATTAACAAAAAAGGAAGTTTACATTCACCATGGAAATTAATAACTACTATTATATGAAATATAACAAAATGCCAAAAAATATTACCAAAAAAATAGAAAAACAACATTGCACCGTAGAATAATTATATGACATGAGCAAATAGAGCCACCATTGGACCAGTTAATAGTATACTTTGTATACGTTGAAAACCGGCTTGAAATAATAACTGTTCATATTCATTCTGTGTTGTATCATATCCAATACCATCACCACATTCAACTGCCATTGATACACTTGTAGATAATGTTGTTATATTTTGACGATCTTTATCAATCATTTTTTCAATAACTAATAATGTACCATTACCACTACTTAGTTGAATTTTAGTTTTTAATAATTTATAAATTTTTTCAATTAAAACTTCACGTCGATCATATGACCAATCATGAAGAATAAATTTAAGAGAAACAAGATCAATATTTTTTATATTTTCAATTATTTTATTTGGCCATTCTTCTTCAAAAAAATCACCAGCTACATAATGAATATTTGAATGATCATTATTTTCTGATGAAGCATAACAAGTTAGTTCAGGTAAATCAAAACTAAATGCATTTATATGTGGATATCGTTTAATAATTGTTCGACTAAGATCACCTAATGAACCACCAATATCAAGTAATGTTGAATATGATGAAAAATCAACATGATTACATAATTCATTTATTGTACAACGAGTAAATGATGACATTGTACGTGCAAAATAAATCATTGGATCATGTTTTTGTTCAAATATTGACCAAAGACATAATTGTTCATTACAATCTTCACTTATTCTTGTACCATATTTTAATGTATCACTAAGATGAAGAAAAAATGTATATTGACGACGATGATCCCAAACACCAATACCTAAACCAACATAATTTTGACGTGATAAAACAAGATATATACGTGTAGTATGTGTACATTCATAACGATTTGAATTTGAACATTGTTTAAGTAAACGAAGATAAACAAGATAGGATAACATTGATAATGATATATTAGATTTTTTCATTTCTTCATATGATAATGAACCAGTTGGCGATTCATCAATCATAGTGAATAAATTGAGTCGTATGGCAGCAAACAGTACTTGAGAACGAACAAAAGAACATATTGTATGTTTTAATAAAGTATCTAATGTGATGATCGATTTATTTGAGTTATCATCACTATATGATGATAAATACATTTCAAATAAATCTAAATAATATAATACAATCAAATATATCGATGAAATTTAATTGAATAAAGTTTTACAAACATATTTGAGATAAAAATATCTAACCGCAAACATATTCACTATTATAAAAGGGTCTTGTCGCTAGTATCAATAGAAATAAAATCATATGATGATATGATACAAAACGACAACATATGGTATAGATGCGTATACAGAGATTGTTTTTTTTTTCAATCAGACAGAAAAAACCCGATGTACGTACGACTAGAAGAAGTATTTCATTGGTAGATAGAGATTTCATCTTTAATAGACCTCTATTAAGATGTCACTAGAATAGGACTGTATTGAATAAAACATGACTTGAAATTGATAGAGAATCATTCATATTTTAATGGTGAAAATATCAAACAACGTTAACAAGTTCAAAGAATGATTATCAATATACATTTGTCAATAGCTATGGGTTCATAATACGTCGTTGAAATTTTGGTAGACTTTCTAAAAATCGACCTAATAATGTTTTCTTGGTCATTTCTTTTGAAGATTGATCAATATTAGATTGTGTAACGATCTAGAAAACACAAACATACACATTCTATTGATTATCATAATCTATTATATTTACATGTTCATATTTAATACTACTACGAGGTAAAAGAATGTCCAATTTTTCATCATAAATAATATGTGTTAATAAACCTGGTAAATCTAATGGTAAAACAAATTCATCATTAAGTGTATCATGATAATGAGAATTTCGAAGAACCAGTATTTTAGTTTCACTTATATTCTTTAACATAAATCAAAATTATTCAGTATTTTTTTTTTCATAAATACATTAGTCATTATGCTTACCAGCGGTTTAAGACCATATTGACCAAATTCAATTTGTATAAAACATGGTCCAGTATAAATCAATGATGAAGTAATATTTTCTAATTGACCTAAACAAAAATAAAGAAATTTCTAATTCAAAAACGCAAAATATTTCATCAACGTTTTGAAACATTTGTTGAAGTTGACTTTAAGATATAGAAACGTAAAATTCTATGAACTCATTACAACTAAATAATTTTCAACTAGTTAAAAATATTCTACATGAATTTAATTATGGTGTGTGCAAACATGTACTGAAGCTAAAGAATTACTGACAAAGATGACATTTATTCTCTTCCAAGAACCTTAGAGATTCTATTTGACTTTTTTTTATAGGTAATTCAGTTTAGTTTCATTGAGATGTGTATATGCAACTGAGCATACCGATCACACTGAGAGAAAAGGTCAAGTGTCGGTGAACGATTGCAAAAAATGAAAATTTTGACTCATACTTGGCTTTTTTAAAATATGATTAGTCTGTACAGTTGTACGTACATCTGGAGGAGACAAAATTGAACTATTCACAATGAAAGTTTCGTACGGTCTGAGGTTTTTGATAGAGAAAAAAGCCTTCTCTTCGTCATAAACTCTTCAGTATCGGTACATATAGATACACATCCTAGTTGAATCCATTTAGAAAACTTTTCATCAGTGGAAAATTATTTAGTTTCAATTGATACATAACAATTTTACGTTATTACATTTTAAAAATAATTAATAAACTTGAAAATTGTACAGCCAACTAATTGTCTTTTCAATTAAAAAGTCAACTCCGACTCTGACACATGCCTATATTAGCTTATATATACCTTGTATAAGAATAAGTTCATGTGATGAATAGATTATTTTGTGTTCAATTAAATATGATTCAGGTATAAGAAATGCATGTTTTAAATGACCATAAATATGAAAACGTTCTTGTTCTGTTGCATCGTATGGCTGAAATAATTTTATTTAAAATACTTCAAAGTTATACTGAATATCTAACAAACCACTATATTTAAATATTCATACAAAACACCTTCAGCTAATTGTAATGCACTATAATGCCATATTTTTTCTAAGATCTTTAAATGTTTAAAACGTTCAATAAGAACAATCAGATCGTTTGATTTTAAATACCAAACCTAAAATTTATCAATTTTATATTTTATTTGTTTATATAAATTTCATTCTCTTACAAGAGTATTTGTAATACATTTACATGTTTCTGTATACTTTTGTCCATTGAGTAAATCAATATGACCAATAACATCACCTGGTGCATATAACAATCGATAGACTGTAGTTGATTCTTTTGTTGGAAAAAAATCGAGTATAGAATCATTTATATTAAGCTGAGAAAGAATACTTTCATTAACATTTAATAATTTTTTTGTATTATCAAAGAATAAATATTTTTGTTCAGAGTCAATATCAGACCATTGAAATAGATCTTCATTTAATAAAGCATTCTTATCAATGATATCGATTTTTTGAACATCAACATAACATTGATGACAAAGATGATGATTAGTTTGAGATTCATTTATTGAATTAATTTCATAAGATTGTTTTTGATAATAATTTGATTTTGAATTAAAAGTAAATGAATCTTTTTTTAATTTTATATCTTCAGATGAATTATTTTCTTTATTTTTATGAAATTTTTCAATTGATAATGCATCATGATATTTTGGCATATTTCTTATTGTCTATTGAAATATTCAAAGATAAAATATGATTTTTAGAAAACAAAAAACATATTCATACTTCGACATAACCAGCTGTAATAAAAAATAATGCTTGAGAATCATTATTTACTTTATAAATATATTCATTTAATGAAAATGATTTAACATGAAGATGACTCAATACATATTCAAGTACATCAGGATCATGAAGCCATGGAAATACATGTAAAAAATTGAACTACAATCAATAGGAATAGTGAAATTTTATATAGATCAAACTCACTGGAATAGGAAAGAATAAAACAGATGGAACAAGTTCTGTATGAAGACGTTTATTAATATTCTAAATATGACATTAAACTATTTATATATCAATAAAGAAACAAGAAACCTCTGTAATTCGATGAGCTTCATTTTCTCCTAATAATCCTTTATTTGTCATATGATGAATCTAATCAAGAACAAATAGATAAAGCTACAAAAAAAAGAGAAGAAATCAATTAAACAATAACTATATTTTTTGAATAATTAAGTAATTTTTGTATAGCTGCACGCGTTTTCACACTTGCTGATACATTTGGATGTTCACTTTGAATAAAAGCTAAATTGAAATATTGTTTTTCTATTATTGTTTTAAATTTTTAAAATTTTACTTAATTCATTAATAATTTCATCTCGTCGTCTTATTGAATCTTTATGAAAATGTTCTCGAATTTGATCAATTTCAATAACACGATGTAATTTTGAAAGTACATCATCTTCACTTAATATATATGCTTTACATAATTCAAGTGAGAGTGTTACATAACGATTAGCTATACGTTCAAGAAGAATATTTAAATTAGCTATGATATACTGAAGAAGGAAATTTAGAATTTTTTTTATCGAAAATATAAATTCATACTTCTATTGTTCGAATAAGACGAATTATTTGAATAATAACCAAAATTTGCATAATAGACCAAGTTTGATGAGAAATAAACTTAGTAGAGATACGATAATAATATTCAAAAATACATTCAACTACTACTAATATCAACAGAATAAATTCAATTCGATAATCAATCCATGTTCGAAAATAGATTTGAATACCAAATGTATAAATCTATGTTAAAAAGGATAGATATATTTAAAAATTTCTCTACACAATTCCTACGCGATTAAAATATAAAACACAATGTAATCGCTATGGCTAATCACAAGAAGATTGTTTTATTCTATCTATCTTGAGATAGATTTCTTCACTATGATCGTATGTCAATAACGTCTGTCTCGATCTGCAAGGAGACAGACTGCAAATTTTTATCTCATATACTTTAATACACCTTTTAAGTCGTGTTTCACAATGATGAGTGATCGAAAAATAATCAGCTTTTTTAAGATGCTGACGAATATTTGAAAACATTGAATGTCAATCAAACTTTTGTGTTCTTTTCGAATATAAGTTCAAAATTTTTTTCTAGAACTTCTAATCTAGAAGTTATAAGCTGACGTTTTTAAAGGTACAAAAATTATTTTAAATACAGCAAATGAAAGAGCAAACATTTTTTAATAAAATAGTATATTAATGATTGATTAGCTTGAAGTAATTTGTTAACAGCGAATGTTGTGGTAAAAAGAAACGTCGTGGCAGATTAGGCAATCTTCTCAATTTCTATGGAAAATAAATATTGTAATATTGTGAAGTGAGCTTGGCCATTTCTGAACAATTGTCCTAATATTCTTAATTCTGATGTCACCTTGTAGAAGAAAATTTTATTTTTAACTATATGCAACAAAAGTCGGTAATATAGTGTATGCCGTGAAGAAGACTGTATCAGTAAAGAACGTCAATTTTCTGCATCTAAACTTGATTTATGGATCTCAAAAATGTCGTCTCATAAATCATACGCCAAAAGTTTTAAAAAAAAATTCGAAGGCATATTCGAAAAGAACACAAAATTCTGATTTTAACTCAATCTTTTCAAATTTCTGCAAACGCTGTAAAAAGCTTAACGCATAAATGAATATTTTATCTTATTAGTTTTCGACTCATTGTTAAATGCAAAAATTAACCTTGATGATAAATTCCAATAGGTAAACAATAATACAGATACTTTGAATGATAGTTAGCATTAGATTAATTTTATTTGATATATTTACAGAACATCGAATGATTGCTAATGTTATCTAAAAGATAATTATATTTTGAAATAAAACATGATTTGAAAGTACAAACATTAAAAAGAATAACAAATATGATAAATAAATTGAATCGTGTATGATTAAGAATATTGAAATAAAATAATCGCCATTTATTTCTGGGCATCTTTTGATATTTTCCCCAATCATTTCGAATACAAATATGTAATTTTTCAACTGATGATCTCTTGAAAAAATTTAATGAGGTGGTATATTTAAATTGACATTCGAAATTCGACTTTCTGATTGAGAAAATCTATATTTCTCTTTCTTACCAAATATTTCCATATAAAATCAATAGTTCGTGGTCTAAAAAATGCATGTTTTGTTTTTTTTCTTTCAAACAAACAAACCAATTTAAAATATTCTTACTTATAATAATATTTGAGTTGATCAATACTAATATATTGACCTTCGCTATCGATTGCAAAATCACAAAGAGATGATAAAATACGAACAGCTTGTGTTGAAATTTCATAATCTCGATATTGTCTCCAGAAGCTTGTCTAAAGTACAATACAAATTCTAACAACATTAGAATAACACACTAACTTTTTGAATATTAATAATACGAATTCTAGCTTCTTCAAATACATCATCATATTGTATTTGATTAAATTCCATTGATATTGGTCGATGACAAATAGAACATTTTATATTATGATCAATTAAATTGATATCTCTACTGTCATTATTGATCATTTTCATAGTATGAGGATTTTCAATGTGAAAATTTTCTTCAATGAAAATCCAATCAGCATTAGCTAAATATTTATTCTTTTTTAATAAACAAATTTTTTCTTTGACAAGAGTACGTAATGAATCTACGCATTGTGCCATATAAAGATATTTTGTTTCAGACATTTTTGTAAAATCTTTTTTTTTTTTTTATAGAAAATTATGAATATATAGTTTGTGAAAGATATATTTACTTAATATTTTGAGTAAAAGTGAATAAGTAGAATTCATACAACTGGAAAGAAAGACAATAATAGTTGTATATATCAAAATTTGATACTAAATAAATTTCGTTTTGTTTTTCTAACAGATAAAAGAAAACGTTTTTATTTTTTTACTTTAAACTTTGATGAAGCATGATGAATTAATTGTTTATTAGCAAGTTGAAATTCACCTTTAAGTGCAAGACAAAGAATTAAACATATTGATCCTTTAAAATCACCCCAAGTAGCTAGGAAACATTCTTTCCATGATAAATGACAGTTACGAAATAAATTAATACATAGTGTTAATATGATTATCATGACAAATCTATAATGAACAATATAAACAAATTCTATTTTGCAGATACTATTGAGATACCTGACAATATAACAAATTAAATAATTGATAACTAAACAAAAAAAAAATGATTTGATTCGTATTGTAGTGAATGTATTGAGTCAGATGATAGCAGAGTACCTTCTCGAATACTCTGTTACTAGTGTGTTACAGAATTTTGGTTGAATATCCTACTGAGAATTCTCTCAGTACATGGGTGCTTAATAAGTAGCCATCTTGATTCTAGAGTATTTTATAAAAAAATTTCTAACAAGTTAGTAATCTAAACTTATAGAGGCATTTTGTAGGAAAATGTTAAAAACCCGTAAAGCAGCTAAAAGTTCTTATGACATGCTGGTAGCCAAATATCTTGAGCTCAGTATATTCATTAGAGTAGATATATCGAAGACTTACTAGCGAGTCCGATTTCAAGAAAAATGGTTTTATCTGTGAATAAAGCCCGTAGATTCGGCTTAATCAATTCGGCAATAGTCTAAAAAATATTCTTTTGTTGTATGATTATTGTTCAATAGAAAGAAAATATATTTGAATACCAATGCTGTGAGAATATAAATAATTGTATTGCCAATTAATGCTAACATATCCCAAAATCTATTAGAATAAATAAAGTCAAATGAGCATATCGTATAAATTGAATTGTATTTTTAACAATATACTTTTCCATAAAAATAGCTGCTTCCGAACTAAGTGCAGTTTTATGATTTGATAATATAAGACCAAGAACAACAATGGCAATAATACCAGAAGAATATAATTGTTCACCTATCAAAATTTCCAATAGAAAATTTCATTATTACTTGTATGTGTTTTTTTTAGAACTTTCAACTGTGAAGATATATTATTGTCGTAAAAGAATCTTTATATCTTATATATATATATACAACACTTACATAACCAATAGAGCATATAAGGGATAGCAGTAGTTATGGTAACTTCACTAATGGGATCATCATAAAAATGAGGTAAACAGATAATTTCCAATATGCCAGCTATGCCACCAAAACCAATACCGCCTACTAAAGCTACAACTGCTGTTTTAAAAAATTTGAATGCTAAAATACAATCATATAGGTATTCATTCTTCTTAAACTAAAATTGTAACATACTATGCCACAATTGATCATCAACAACAAAACTTTTGATAGCATTAAATAAGATAATTGCTAGACTGTTATTGATTATTGCTTCGCCTTCGAGTATAATACTCAATCGTTTTGTTTTCCCATAGTCTATCTAAATCAAATTCGGGTTAGTATTATAAACATAAACGGTATAAAAAAACAGAAAGCTTAATGATAAACCTGCTTGACGCATAAGTGTTATAGGTCTAGTAGCACTTAGAATAATACCCAATATTAAACATTGAAGAAAAGTCCATTGTTGAAAAAGAAATAGACATTTATTCAATGTAGAAATACTAAATAATGATATAAAGTAACCAACAATTGAGAAAAGTAGAATGGAATAGAGTGATTTCATGAATGCATGATATTCAATACGATATGCTGATTCGAAAACTAATGCAGGTAGAAAAATGCCAACAACTAGATCAGGTGATGATGTTGTTATAGTAAGAAATGTATCATCTTTAGTAAAAATATTGAAGAGAATACCGCCTATAAAACCAATTAATATAATGAGACCAGCATATGGAACACGTAAAGAAACAAATATTGTTTTGAAAAGACCTTTTGTTTAAAAAAACACACATTATCAAAAACGAGAACGGAAAATTACGTACAACCAATAAACAGGATGAAAAAGAGAAACATAAGTTTGTATGGAGCATGATGTTCATCTGGATCTTCATATATCTCTGATTCATTACACAAATGAGACTTTGTTTTAATATCAATCGAATTCATATAAGACATTCTACCATTCAACGTCATGAATCGTAATTAGATGCTTGTCGCTGTTATTCATATGATTAAATAACATAGCTCGAATGGTCTCATTATACACTAAGCATAGTGAAGAGTAACGATTAATTACATTATATAATTAAAACTAACGATGGCACATTTTCAAGTAAAAAATTCTAAT